ATAAAAAGGCCACAACTTAATGAAACTAACTCATCGATCAGTCTTTTACTGAAATATATTTTTATTTTGATTCCCGGATCTGATCCCATTTAGGCGTGTGCTTATGTTAGTTCCAATATCACAGATTAAATGTAACATATTTTCAGGTAATCAACTCTCAGGTTATCAATATAATGTGGATGAACATAAATTATTATAAAATACGTACATAAAATAACTACGAAATTTGAATAACCTGTAGCCTAAATGTACATATTTTATTAATTTTATAAGCACGCGCGCACACACCTACTACGATAGAACTGTCAATCTTATTTTGACTAAAGCACTACAGGAAGCTTGAAGGCAACCCTCCCTCCCAAAAAGTTATTAAGACTCGGAGTGGGGATACCACAAAAACCAATGGGTACATAAGATTTCATAAATATGCTGGTGCTCTCAGGGCATAAGGTACCCAATAGTCGGTTTCCATCAAAGATCAAACCTTACGTCTGCAATCCAGATAACTGGCATGTGTGGCCTCTACTTTTCCTCAACTAAAAAATATATATTTATAATTATGTACAAACTCCAACATGCAAGTTTATCAATAAAAATTATGTAAACTAGTTCAATGATAAAAAAAATGACCTAGCAGTATAAATCTGTTATTCATATTTGAAAATGAAACACCCCTGTTGTAGCAACTTGAGGTAGTGCTTGATAAGAGCTGCTACCATGGAATGGTAACTTAGTTAGATTCAAAGACAGAAATGTCGTTTCTTCAGGTTATCTTACACAAAGAAGAAGACAAACATTTTGAAAAAAAAAAAGAAGTTCACCCAATTAAAATATAAATAACATCCTAATGAAAAACTAATATAAAAGCATAGGTAACAATAGAGAACAATAATGAGATAGGGACAAACACTCTTATGCTCATGAACTTTATGTGAAAAACCACAGGCAATCGAAATCAATATAACAGTGTTCATTATTCACTAATTAGCATATGTAATGATGCAAGGGCTTCATATTCCTAATTTAAACCAAAACTAGTATTTACCTTTATAAGATTAATTTTCACTAGGTCTCTATAAGAATGTTAAATCCATCTAATACACCTGATTATCTTATAAACCTTGATTCAGATTAATAGATTAACTTTGCATGTTTTACCCTGGAAATATTTACAAACTTCTCCAAACATATTTACCTTTCTTTTATATAGGGCATGCACTTACCAGGACAGGAACCATTTCCTCAAGTGCTAGAAAGTTGACAAAAATCCATGCAAGTAGAAGTGTCACCTAGAAAACTTGAAGCAACGGAAGGTGATAACAAAGCTGACAGCACGATAAGCCATTACTTAAGTGCCAGATAGAATGAAAAGCACAACATTGTTCTAGGTTTTCTTTGATTAACAAAGCTGACAGAAATGTTTGAAGATTGTCATACACATTTCACAGCATGATAAGCCATTACTTGAGTGCCAGATAGAATGAAAAGCACAACATTGTTCTAGGTTTTCTTTGATTATAGTTAAACACTTCTGTTTTCAAAGATTCTTCACGACATTGTCATAAGATTACAAAAATGCTTCATTTTAATTAAGACTCTTTAGTCCTTTGGTAAATCTTAAATGGCTTACCTTCAATTTTTGATACCTCACTACTATAAAGGCTTGGTTTGGTCTGTAATTTCATTGGTGGTAGTGTCCAGGGTCACTGATGAGGAGAGGAATTCTCCGAAACTAGTCTGGCTCAAAGACACACCCGCAATGAAAGAATAGACCATTCCAAGCTTTTACCTGTTGTTAAACAAATGTTTAAATAACTCTATTCATTAAGGTATTTCAAGATTAACAGGTGGGTTGATGGGTTTCGATCCTCTTTTTTTTTTTAATATATATATATATAGAACTTACAACAGAACAAATATGGTACAATCACCGCTAAACCATGTAAGCTATAAGCTGAGGTTCCTCTTCCTTTTGGGTATCATAGACAAATCTTTAACATAAAGGCAAACAATTCTTTATAAATTTTTGACATAGCTCATTATTTTCACAAGATGATAAAGAAATCACACAACTTGTTCTAAAAAAATAAAGAATATCACACGTTTTTAGTGAAAACTTTAGTTAATTTCACAGACTCTGCAATGAAAACTATTCTGTTACATCTACAGAATTGAAAGAAAAAGTTATTAGTTACTTTAATAAACCTACAAGCTCAACAGAAGGAAGATACACATTCTTGTTTAAGATATTAATAGTTCCTAATATGGCTGAACAAACTGTTAAGTATGGATACCCAACTAATAATATAATCTAATCATTATGGGTTTTAGTTTTTTGTGTACTGATTTATGATGAAATGTAATTTCTGTCAGTTGGTTATATCAGTTCTGATATAAAGCAATTTTTTTTCTGAAGTTATTGATAACAATTCAGTATAGAGACAAGTTAAAACTTGTAGTAAAACTCTTGAAACTTTTCTTTCTTTCAACACTGTACATACATAATTTCGTTTTGAATTAAAACTTTTGTATTTGAGAATGACTGCACCAGTGATCGAAACATTATACCTGTTTTAAAAATATTCTCCCTTATTGTAAAAGTTGTAACTTGTAATAAAATAATACTGTACATATATGTTGTTTAGAAAATTGTTGACATTAGTTACATAACAATATTTTTGTCTCAACAATACCATTTTCCTCCAGTCTCAATTTGGAAGGTAATAAGTTGTAGATTAGGTTTTAAAGCTACAACTTCATTGACTTTATGTTAAGATGTACTTGATAACTGCAATCCAAGCACGGGTGTAACTACAAAAGATAGGCATCCAGCATAAGAAGTAATTGGGCCCCTTACCTTTATTCCCCCTGTTGGCAGTTCTTACATTTGTCAGGCCCTTCAGCCCTCCCCACAATTGTGTGAGCACATTTACACCACTAAATCAAAGTTAAAACTTACAGCTGTAAGTAATATAAATTAATCATATTGATATTAATCTCCAGAATTTGAAACATAAATATTTTGCTTTTTGAATTTCAAAGCAAAAAATGGAGTATTAACACCATTTATTGAAAACAAATTACTACTAACAGTATTGTTGTCTCAACAATCCCATTTTTCTAGATTAGGTTTTAAAGCTACAATGGAAATGCTAGTACAATGTCATTGCCTAAAATGTACAATCTCCTCAGCTTTTGCATTATTTTGTAATTGGGTTAAGTTTCTGTAAAATTCTTCCAAATATAGACTTGGAAATAAAAAATATTCAATTTTGACCCTCCCACCAAAAATATTTAATTCAGGCCTTGCCTGTAAGAATTATGAAAGTCAGACAGTCTACATTAATATGTACTGTAAGCTAAAGTGTGAGGCATTAATTGAATAAAATCAGGGTATAAGATGCTTCATAGGATGTTATTTTCATCGACTCAAAAATATTATACAGTATTTGTGGAGAAAAAAAAAAAAGAGTAATTCTGACTGAAAAAAAAATCTTTTCATGACATTAGTACACATATAGTTAGTTGAGAGTCTCATGAAATGTGTGAAACTTTTAGTGCTCTAAAGCTATCAAATACTTCTCATTTACTTTATGAGAAATGTTGAGTTTTCACTAGTATAAACAGTAATGTAGCTTTGTTCAAATCATTTGGTCACTCACTTGGTGTCTGGCTATGGACATAAATGTGTTGTGAATCATCTCTTAGTCCATGAAAGATAGCCAGTTATGATGGTGGTCATAACTTGCCACATTTTAAAATAATTATTTAAATAAATTTAGTAATAAAAACCTCATCGAATGTCCTTGTTGGATTATTTTTACTTTTACCATAACATAAAATGAAATCTAGTATTTTCATTTCTTATTCATTAAGTATATTACAAAGTTATAAAAAATGATAAGCATCTTTCCAATGGAAACAACTGTATATATAATGATTTCCATTCTTTTCTTTGCCATTCAATGTACACATAACAAATCTCCCCAAACCAAGTATGACTAATTTCTAAGATGAACACAACATTAATCTAGTAAGATAGTTTTAATGTCAGTAACCAATGGTGTAACTATTTTCTTTTATTCTAGACTTACCTTAATTAAATGTACAATTGGTATTAAATGACACATATATAAAGAATTTAAGACTAGTTATTAAACAATTACCAGTTATACTACAAGTATTTATGTCTTTGTAGCTCATTTATTTAGTGTGTGGCATTTTCAGGTAAAACTTAATTTCCCTACAAGTATCAGATTGCTAATAACAGCAGTTGTGCTCAGGAAATAAGTATTCTGAATCTGATAACTGAGTGTGAAATAATGAGGCTGGACGAAATTACCAAATGTGAACACAATCTTTATTATCATACAAACAAAATGATAATGCAGTATACATAATATCCCTACAGAACCACAGTCGAATTTCTATGAGATGGTGCTTAGTCCCCCAGTTTTCACTCTCTTGTGATTGATCTCTTAAAATAAAACTTAATGATTTTCAAACACTAGACAATCTCCTAACAGAACTGAACTAAGAAAGCATGACTCAATTCTACAGGAACAGGTAAGCTTGATTTCTTTGTACAGTTAACAGTGTCACCTTGTGACCTTTGTTCTCTCACAGCATTGGTCAGCTGTAACATTCAGATGACATCATATTGACCAGTAAAAAATTTTACAGGTGATAATCTTTTCTACCTGGATGCTATATGTTACTGCAATATCCTCTTAAGCAGAATAGACATTATCTACTATCAGTGCCACATTAATATAATGTTTTGGGACAACATGGGACCTATTGGTTCATCTCGGCTGTCCTTTCCTCTAAACTAAAATATATTAATAAATAAATTTTAAAAAATCTTAAAGCCAGCCCTTATCATTCATATAGTTATCAAGCTTTCTCTTAAACTCACTGCCTCCACAACGTCTAAAGGCAACCCATTTCAGAGGCCAACCAGCCTGTTAGAAAAATTAAACTGTCTTGGCTGAAGATGACTCCTACCCTGCCAAAATTTATACTCGTGTCCCGAGTTCTACTGTTCTCACTGTTAAGTATGAATAAAGATGATGCATCAACACTATCAATTCCCTTCCCAATCTTAAACACCTCAATCAGATACCCTCTAACTATTCTTTTTTCAGGAGAAAACAGCTTGAGAGATTTCAATCTCTTGTCGTATGACAATCCCTCCATCCCAGGCACCATTCTAATAACCCTCCTCTGAACCCTTTCCAACAACTTAATGTCCTTCCTAAGGTAAGGAGCCCAAGACTGAACACAATATTCCAAATGTAGCCAAAAATGATAACCTCTTTAGACTTGTATTCAGTATTTCTGCAGATACAACCTAAAATCCTATTTGCCCTACTACTAACAACAGCACACTGCTTCTATGGCTTAGGAGACTGATTAATTATTACACCAAGATCCCTTTCTTTCATGACACTGTTAAGATTATTTCCATCAAAATTATACATATAATTCAAATTATGATAACCCACATGCATTATATTGCATTTATCATAATTAAAACCCATTTGCCATATATTTACTCAACTCATTAAATGAATCTGTCATTTTGTAAATCAGCAGCATCCTTTTCACAGCTAACAACACCCAAGACCTTAATATCGTTTGCAAATTTAAGTGGGCCCTTGGCAAAATATATGCTAGTGCCCCACACCCATTGCTTTTAAGAAAATAACTTATAATTTGATAAACTAAATTTATTAGTAATAAAAATTAAGGAAATAAATACATGTATATTCCTTAAAAACAATTGATTTATTATTATTAATATATATATTTTATTATTATACTCACAATGGGCTTTGGGCAACTGCCCTTTTTGCCCATTGGATAAAATGGTCCTGCCTACATTAGAGAACAAAAAAACTAGAAAAAGCAATCTCAATGAATTTCTTGACCATGTGTTCATGCTAAAACTGCATAGAAACCAGACTAAGTAAAAAAATTTTAAATTCTACCTATAACTAAAGCAGATAGAAAAACAATGATATATCAGCATATCAAAAGTGATTCTCAGTATACTATTATCTATGAATTGAATAACTTCGATAAACTTTCTTACTTTTTGAGAATATTGCCTGTATGCATAATTTTACATTAAAATTTAAAGGCATTTATTAAACTTTCTTACTTTTTGAGAATATTGCCTGTATGCATAATTTTACATTAAAATTTAAAGGCATTTATCTTTTTACAAGTGTATGTTTAAGCTGACAATAAAATAATGAATGACGATGATCATTTCTACCAATCCGAGTTGTCTCAAATGTTTATTTCATCTTACTAAAACTCATCTGGATCACTGTGGTCTGATATTACTACTGTAGTTAACTTGGGATACCATATAAACATATCACATATCAATACTTATCAGAATGTTTCTTGATGAAATTTTAGCCACTAGGCAAATTGTTTTTTCAGCAGACCTCTATTACCAATAGATGTCTCTGTTTTTACTTACTGTATGTTTAGTTTTTGATGAA